GGGGGGGGGGGGGGGACGACAAAGTTTCCTGCCTGAGGTCACATGGTATAGAGACACATCGGTTAGAGACGACTGGAACTCACGTGTCACGGCAGCCAATCTAGCTCTGCACTGATTTTATTTTATGATTATTATTTTTAAATTTTTGGGCCGTGCCGCGCAGCATGTGGGATCTTAGTTCCCTGACCAGGGATTGAACCCGCACCCTTTGCATCGGGAAGCACATATTCTTAACCACTGGACCACCAGGGAAGTCCCTACACTGATTTTAATAAGTACATTAGAAATAAATTATCTCCCTCCCACCCAAAATCATGCGAGTTGGTGCCTAGTGTACAGCAGATACCCAATAGATATACGCTGCATAAATGAATGAATGAAGAGGGGTCACACTAACAGCACCTGCCTGAAGAGCATCTCGCCCTGTAATACTCTGTGCTAGTCAGGCCAGACCTGGAAGGTGATATGAAAGATTCAGAAACCTGAGAGAGAGACAAGCAATAACTAACAACAACCACCACCGTGACAGCAGAAGTGACAGCAGCTAAGCAAACAGTCTCTTTCCTGGTCAGCTCCTCTTTGGCCTTTACTGAGCCACCGTCTGTGTCAGGCGCTTTTCTCACATCACCTCCAATGCCTTCAGAGGATCACCCTGCGGGAAGGGTGGCAGGGTCAGCGAGCTGTCTCCCCCATGTTCCTGTTTCCCTTGTCGGGCTGCCCCTGGGCAGGGCTCTGGAATTTGAGCATATATGTGTCACTTGTGGTCTGAAGTGGTAAAGAAGGAAGTGTGCCTCTCTCCCCGCCCATCAGTCAGAAAGAGAGGACTCTGTGACCCAGGGGAGGATGGTGACACAGGAAGGAAGGAGTCTGGGTCCCTGAATCTCCACGTGGAAGGCCGCGTGCATTAGGCTGTGATGTGGCTGAGAAGGAAGTGGTTATGTCAAACCACTGAGAATTTGGGATATACCTGTTACAGCAAACAGTGTCTGCCTGCCTAAAACAGAGATCAGATCAGAAATCAGATCAGCTCGGTGCTTTGTGACCACCTAGAGGGGTGGGATAGGGAGGGTGGGAGGGAGGGAGACGCAAGAGGGAGGAGATACGGGGATATATGTATACAGTACAGCTGATTCACTTTGTTATACAGCAGCAACTAACACACCATTGTAAAGCGATTATACTCCAATAAAGACGTTTAAAAAAAGAAATCAGTCCTACTATGACCAAAACCTAAAATTGGAGGCTGGTGGTCTAGTGAGGGAGCTGACACTGTAAGCCGGACAGATGGCAAAACAGCTGATAAAAAGGGTGTCCAGACAGCAGACTCCTAGCTGTGGCTCTAGAGCAGCAGTTCTCAAAGTGTGGTCCCGGACAAGCCAGGTGTGTGTGGCCTGAGGACCTGTCAGAAATGTGAGTCCTGGGCCCTGCCCTAGACCCACGCGTCTGAAGTTCAGAGTGCGGCCTAGAAATCTGTGCTGTCACCAGCCCTCCTGGTGACCGATGCACGCTCACGTTTGAGGACTGCTGCTTCGGGGGTATGACCGCGAAAGCAATGGGGCTCGCCGCAGGCTGCCCCGGGCTGAGCCCTCTCCACTGCCCTCCCCTTCCTCCGCTCACCTGGGTCTCAAACCACACTCAACCCTACACACGCCCACGACTCTGTCCTGCTCAGCTCCTGTTTGGCCTCTAGGCTCCGGGCAGAGGTCACAATTTCTGGAAGCCTTCTCCAGCTCCGACCCCCTCTCTGGCTACGCTGCCACCAAGCCAGCTGCCCCCGCAGGGCACAGACCACCCTGACTTACAATGGAGTAACCAGGGCTCCCAGGTCCTATGACTGTGTTTTGGGAGAGTGGCCGCAGGCTGGCCCTGGCCGTCCCTGCCTTTTGCAGGATCTGAGGCTGGGAGGGATAAGGGGGGCTTCAGTACCCTGCCCCCGTCCACCGTGGGGCCCTTACCCGCGTGGGACTGCATGTGCTCCAGCAGGTTGTTGTAGAACTGGAACTGGATTCCACAGGCGCCGCACGTGTAGGGCTCTGCAGGGAGAAACGGAGCAGCCGTTTTAGGGGCAGCACGAACCTGGATGCCTTTCTGCTGGGCCGCAAGCAGCCTTGGAACTGGGCACCCAGACACACATGGGGGCTGTGCACCCAGGGCTCTGGGCCTGTCTGCCCCCCTGTCACTAGCTAGTGAGGGAGAGGCTGCGGGGGAAGAAGCAATGGAGAGATAAAGACTGGCAGATCAAGACCGCCGAGTGCAGTCAAGCGGCATTTATCGAGTGCTCACTGTGTGCCACACTGTTCTGGGCGCTGGGGATAACACTAAGGGACCGAGAGGTCTCTCAGGGCGGAGACCACGTCTTATTTGTTCCACAGCCCACCTCTCAGCCGGTGGAAGCACACAGACGGCACTGTTTGCTGAGTGAACAAATGAATGAACGTATGAATGAACCAAAAACAACATAATGGACGTGGAGGGCAGTAAAGAGAAGGAGAGAAGGGGTGAGAGAAAGGGTGAGAAGTGGAGAAACACAGAAGAGCTAGAGAAGCAGGGATAAGACAGGAAAGGGAAGCGAAGAGGGCCGGAGGGCGGCAAGAATGAGAGCACATAGGAACGCGAGCACGTGTGCCCAGCAGAGGGACGCGGAAGGAAAAAGAAAGAGAGAAGAGAGCAAAAACGAGTAGGGAAAAGACAGCAGGAGGATGGCGGAGATGCGCTCGGAAGAGGCGTCCTGAGGCTGCCCCCGTGAGCAGGAAGGGTTGGCTTTGTTCCTGCAGGGCTGGGGGTGGCAGAGTCAGGACGCCCATGGTCACAGCTCCGCCCGACACCTGTCCAAACTCCTCCACCCGCCTGGGTTGGGTCTCCCTGTGCCTCCACCTTCTCCAACTGGGTCTACGTGGGAGGGCGGCCCAGGTCTGATGCTCTGGGGGGGTCCCGAACGTGTGGCTGGCTGAGTTCATTCCCTGCCCTGCCTCGCCCTCTCCAGCCCCCCGACGGGACCATCACTTACTCTGTAGGAGAGGGAAAGGATTGGAAATCAGGGGACTTGCAGTTTCTGCAAAAGAGAAACAGTTTAGCTAAGTCTCTTCTGGTTCTGGTGCTCGGAGATGACAGTCATTACTTCTGTCCTTAGGAAATAGTGAGCCAGATGGGCTCTCGGAGGAGGAGGGGGCAGCTGGGCTGGGGCTGGGGCACGGGCAGGGCGAGATCAGCCGGAGCCATCCCTCCAGGACACCCCCAACTTTCAAAAAGTCAGCCCACAGAGCGCCAAGGAGAAAATATCCACGCGTGGCTGCCTGGCTCAGGACAGGAAGCTGGGAGCTGCTTCTAGGTCCAAGCACCGGGGTGGTACTGTCTGGCACCAAACACCAGAGTGGCCAAGGGAGGGCTGCGCTTTGAGGGCTTTTCTGTCTGCTGGCAGCTCCCCGCGCTTCCTGGCATGGTCAGGTGAGCCTCACAGGCAGGAGGCGGCAGAACGGGGCCAGACAGACTACACGGGGAATCCTGGCTCCACCACTCACAAGCTGGGGACCTGGGGCAACAACCAACCTCTCCTGAGCCTCAGTTCCCTCATCCAAAAAGTGGGGATAACAATAACACTGACCCTCACTGGGCTGTGGTAAGGATGAAAACAGGTTAAGACACATACAGCTCTGAACACGTGCCAGGCACACAGTAAGCGCTCAATAAATGGTGGCTGCCGGCGGGAGCAGCGTTCACACCGTCATTCCCAATTCTGAACATCGGCTCTGGTGGAAGGAGAGGCAGGGGTTGCAGCCTGGCTGGCTGGGAACAAAGGCTCCCGGGAGACCACGGTTTCAGTCCTGGCTCTGTTGCTTATTCCTGTGTGGCTTTGGGCCAGTCACTCCAGTTCTTTAAGGCTCACCTTTTGGAGGGCCTGAGCGGGTTATAGCTTCCAAAAGGATGAAGCGGTTTGGAAAAGTCGACATGCTCTCTACGGTTTAAAGGATCGTGGCAACATTCTCGGGGCTCCCACGGCACACCTCACTCCCTTCCTCGGAGCACTTACTCATCAAATCACTTGGCTTACTTAAAAAAACCACCACATTGGGCTTCCCTGGTGGCGCAGTGGTTGAGAGTCCGCCTGCCGATGCAGGGGACACGGGTTCGTGCCCTGGTCCGGGAAGATCCCACATGCCGCGGAGCGGCTGGGCCCGTGAGCCATGGCCGCTGAGCCTGTGCGTCTGGAGCCTGTGCTCCGCAATGGGAGAGGCCACAACAGTGAGAGGCCCGCGTACCGAAAACAAAACAAAACAAAACAAAAAGCCACCACCTCCCAAACAGCCTACCACGTGAGTATGTAAACTCTGCAGGGCACCCTCTGAATACTCCCCACCACAGGGATGTGTGTGCCGTTCCCATTCCACAGCAGAGGTGAAATTGAGAGGCGAGCTCAAGTCACCAGCTTGTAGATGGTGGAGCTGGGGTCGAGCCTTGGCTGGAGCTCAGATCACTGTGAGGAAGCTTGCATGTGCAAGTCTGCGCTCCTGGATGTTTCATAAAGCCCCTGACTGGTGGTCAAGCCACGTGCATCATCTGTCTGCACCCAGGCAGTGCCCAGCACGGTGCTGAGCACAGGCCAACACCTAATCTGGTGAGTTAAACTTTAATTGAGCAAGAAAGTGAGTGATGGCCTTACCTTAGTATAAAGGAATTATCAAAATCTTTTTTACACCCTGCCCTGGCTGGCACTGTGCAGACCAGCTTGCTGTGCCCTTCTCGGGCAGAGGCTGCTTGTGATCACGCATGGCTCCGCCAGGCTGGCCCCAGGTCTGGCTGGGGATAGTGGCTTTTGGCTGCTCTAAGGTGCTCTAGGGTTCCGCTAGAGTCCTGCAGGAGGCAACCACCAGGGGGCGCCAAAACACCACTGGGAACCTCAGGCAAGCCTACTTGGGCTGGTAGAGGCTGGAAGGGAACCTTTGGATGTTCCCAGGTCCAAAAGGGGACCAGAACTTGGGGCCTCCGGCTCTTAGGCCACAGCTCTCTCTACTGTACCCGCTTTGCTTCTTCTGGGAAAAAAAAAATGGCTGTGATGTTCATCCTATAAACATAGCAATGGCTCAAAGGGGGCCATCCAAGTCAGTATATCACACAGGTCATGGGGCAGGGGAGTTCCTCTCTCCATGGGGAAGAGACAAAGAGGATCCATAGTCCCGGAGATGCTCCTGAGGCCCCGAGGGATGTCCCTGGAAAAAGGACCCCTCCCGCTTCTACCGGGCTCTGGCCGCCCTCTAATGCTCTGCTCTCAGCCTCCTCCCGACACCCTGCCCCATCACGCACCACAAAGATCCCGGAGCGGATTGAGGCGGCAGCACAGGGTGACTGTCATGGGGCACACTCACCGCTGGAGTTTTGGGAACTGCTATTCGTCTCTTCAAAGTGGTTTTGTGCTTTGCCTTCTACCCTCCGACTGAAAGCGCTTTCTGCTGGGTGGGGAGAGGAGAGAGCAAGGAAAAGCCACGGTGATTGGTCAGCAACAGGTCCAAAGGGAGGGGCATGCCAGAGGGGGCTTGGGAGGCCAGGGACGTGGGAACTGCCTCAGCCCCTGGGCTGGGTGAGTGCCTGAGGCTTTATGCTGGGGAACCAGCAGAGGGATGGGCTCCAGAACCCCAAACCCCAAACTTGCAGTTCCTCAGGCTCACCTGAATTGCCTGATACCTCGTCAGGGTCCCAGGAGGTCCCCGACAGTGCCCAGGGTGGGTGGAGGTCCAGGCACGGGGGGGATGTGTGTGGGATGTGGGCGCACCCCTGAGCTCCAACTGATCGAGTAGATGGCACACAGGCCAGGGTCTCCCATCTTTGACCCCTGGGGAGCCACACGTGACACTAAGTAATCTGGATCTGCCACTCGCTACTTGCTCTGCCAGATTCTGCTGACACAGGCCCCACCAAGGAGCAGGGAGGGTGACAGACTGTTTTCTGGCGGTGGCTCTGGCAGAGCAGGAGGGCCAGAGAGCAGAAGGGGTCCCTGGGTGGCAGAGAAGTCATGATAGGCTGAGCCGGGTAGCCCCACACCCTGGGAGGCCAAAGACCAGGTGAGGTATGGTCGGGGTTCACTGGGGGCAAGGGACTGACTCCCTGAGTGATTCTGGGGTGTCTCCACTGACGCGCCTTCCTGAGTGGCTTGCCTTCTCCCAGAACTCTCTGTAAACGCCGGAGTCAGAGAAAGGGTCCAACCAGGTGGGAAACACCAACGTTCTGTCTCGAACGTCTGAGCCAGAAGGTGACGGCTTTTCCAAGCTGCTCAGTGGGGATGCTGGATGTGCCAGGATATAAAGGCTTCTGGGAACAAGTCAATCTGGGATGAGCAGCTGACCCAGCAGCCTTTCTTAAGGAGAAACAGCTTGCATGAGGATATCAAAGGCTCCGAGAAGTTCGACCGGAGAGAGAGACCCATCTAGCTTCACTGAACCCAACCTTCCCAAATATAATCGGCCACTGAAGGCCATTTAAAACTATGAGATTCCTTAACATCCTTCAAAAACGGTGATTCTTGGAACCCACTCTGGGAAATGCCATTGTTACCCAGGCCACCCTACGCCAGGAGGGCAAGCGCTCATACTATGGGAGCCGGGGTTCCAGACGATCACTGGGGTGATGGGAAAGGAAGCCCCAGGTGGCTCCTATAGGCCCTGCTCAATTCCCCTGCCCCCGACTCTGACAGTGCCTCCTGATGCAGCCTCCTTTTTGCAGAGGCTGTTGACAACATCACACACAAGACCCTCTCTTCTAACTCTGTCTGTAAAATGCCTGGACTGAGAGCTACACACCTGCCCACTTCAAGATACCATCTGTACATTGGCAAAGAAAGCCCCTCAATTCTCTACCTAGGAAAAACGGGGGGACTCTTATTTACGAAGCACCTGCTATGGGCCAGGCACTGGTCCAGATGCTTTACATCCACATAATCCTCCAATCGCCCTATGAGGTCCACGCTGTCATTCCCATCTTATAGGTGAAAACCCAGAGAGAGTGAGGTTGTCAAGTTCCTGGGCCCGACTAAGCTCCTAACCCTTTAAGATGGCAGAATAAGGAGATTTCATTCTTGGGACAGATGCTTCCTTTTTAAAAAGGCCTGGGGCAGGGAAGTGGTTCCTTTTGCCGTCTTAACACTCATGCATGCAGGAGATGGTTACCCATCTGTGGAGGATTTTCGTGCAGCCTGACCAACGCATTGGTACAATTCAGCACAACTAAGGTTACAAACTCTTATAATTAGCCTCTTATGGCTCAGCTGATAAAGCAGATTTTGATCAGCTATCCCTGCTATAGGCACCTCTGGCTGAAAACCAGCAAGCGGCTCCACAGGGGACACCCCCGCGAAGGCGCGCGCGTGCGCATGCGCACACACACACACACACACACACACACACACACACACACGCACGCACGCACACACGCGGGAGCGGCTGCCTGTTCTAGCATGACGGGGGCAGTGATGACTTCCAGCTCCAACATGCAGGCTCCGGCTCACAACCTGGTGTCCCCTGACCTGCGCAGCTAGTAGTCCAGGTGTGATACCTACCACAAGTCTTCCAGGTCACATAAAGGCAGCCAGAGGCAAGCCCCATCGCTTGTGATGCTTACTTGGTGACTCTGGGTTCTGAGAGCTGCCACAGACCACAAAGGCCCTACAGGCAGGAAACTGCAGATGCAAAAACTCCCAGCCACAAGGTCGAGAGTAAAATCAAGACCTGAAAGCCGTGATCCCATTATTTAGTTGAGCCAGTATCTACCACCAATAAGTCCGTGATGACCAGCCTGTTTAACTGACTTATAACTACTGTCGCCAAAAAACAATGGCTACTAGTTCCTCTCTACCCAGTAGCTGAAAACCATTACCTTCAAAGTTAATTAACTACTTACTCTCCTTTCAGGAGATCTAATCACAAAAAGCATAGCTTCAAATATTTTTAAGAACCACAACCTTGCTCCTGGTTAGCTTTCTGAACCAGAGTAAAGGCGAGCACAACTCATCACGTGGCTGTAATCGGTCCAGCCCCCTGGTTCATTTGAGTGAGTTCTCAGTTTGATCACTTGTCTATTTTTAGTGGATAACGTTGGGCCTCTTGAGGGCATCTGAAAGGCCCGTAGTCCCAGAATGACCAAGTCATCACTCTACCCTACATCCCACATATCTAGGCAGGAGGCCCAAGGCTCTTTCCATCCAGGTGTCAATCAGGATTCCTGATTAGCTGGTACTCAGCACACAGTGTGTCTTATCAGTTTTCCCCGATAAATGGTAAGAAATGGCTGGTGTGCACCTTGCACTGCCTGTTCACCCCTCCAGAGTCTGAGCCCTTTCTGCGTAGACTCAGACAACACTGGAGTGGGCATCTGTTGGCTTCCCGCTGGGCTATGGCTCATGGAGGGGTTTCCTGGACAGTGAGGTAGAGGGAGGCCAGGAGAACAGAGCTCCCAGCCAAACACTTCTTCATGGAGAGCAGCTCTTCGTAGAAATGAGTTTTTGGACTCTGGGTTTTCTGAAAAATGGGGGATGCAAACTCATGCCAAGAGGGTCCAGGCAGGTGACGTAAATGGATGAACTGGGCTGGATGTGAGACAAGACAACAGTGTGATCACAATGAGACATGGCACCTGCCACGTGGCCACTGTATTGGGGATGCAGGAGGGAGTGGTGGGGACTGTGGAAAACCGGAGAGCACACGCTCTACTGAAGGAGGCAGCTGTGGCTCGGCCCCAAGGCAATTGCTGCCCTGAGGAAAGTGGGCCCAGGACTGCCAGATCTGACTTTTCAATGTAAGCCAGAAATCAAAAGTTTCATATAAAAATCTCCTAATGCTCAAATGTTGGCAATTAATTTAAAAGAATTTAAAACCCCTTAGGCCAGGACTTGGGGAGAAAAATATTCTCCTACTTAAAAAAATTCGTTTGCAAACCATCTTGTACAACCCTCTGATTTAGGGTAAGAAAACCTAGACTCAGAGAGACTAGGTGGCTTGCCGTGGTCACAGAGCCAGCCTGAGGCAGAGCCGGGACCCAGATTCGTCCCAGAGAGCTAGGGACCACCACCCTCGCTCTTGTAAGGGAACAATGACCCCGGGCACAGCTGTGGCAGGTGGGGACAAGGGCGGGGAGTGGAGGAAGTGTGAGGGTAACATAGGCCATTGGTACCTGCAGTTGCCTTGCTTGCCGGAGATCCCGAATTTGGAGTGCGGAACGTCGGGGTTTGGGTGGCTGGAGGGGTGCGGTGTAAGAGGGTAGCGCATCGGACCACGGAGGCCGGAGCCTTTTTCCCCGACTGGTTCGTCTGGGTCTTCGCTGCCACGAAGCGTGGAGACGGGGAGACCTCTGGATGCGAACACTCAGAGCCCGTGTCTGGATCGTCCGGTGGCTCCCACCCGGGGGCAGTACCTGAGAGGGTCACGCTCTCAGTTGCCGAGGGCGCTTGGAGCCGACCAAGTACCCCTACGCTCGAGGGCCAAAACTTCTTGGTCCACAGAGAACAAGGGCTCTGGCTCCCACCTGGAGCCTGAGAAAGTCTGGGAGTCTAGAACCTTCCCCAGCTTCTCCTCGAGGGAAGCCTGATCGCCAGCTCACACTCAGCATTACTTGGAGACCACTGACCAGCCCACTGGCTGGGTCACCCATAACCCTTGACCAACCCAGGCTCTGCGTGTCTAAGAACTCGGCCTGTGACCCATGCTTGGGGCACTTGAATTAGTCAACCCAGGCTCAAATGCATTTTCTAAAATGCTGACTCCTGAGCCTCTTGCCCTTCCAACGCAGGCTGGCTCAGCAGTAATGATAGACGACAGAGAGGCAGAGACATGCAGGGTTGATTGATGGGAGAGGGGAAGAGCAGAGGGCCCAACGTCGCCCCATGGTTTTAGGGGAAGGGGCTCGTGTCGCTCCTGGGCACTGCCTGGGATTGACAATCTCAGGGGACAGTGCTCGACCCAACGCCTGACACTTTCATGGAAATCAGTGCAGCAGCTCCCTGGTGGGGTTAGGGGCAGCTTGTGTCACCATTTCCCACACCTCCTGCCTCCCCTGCCCGCCTTCTCTGCAGAAACTGGAGTTACTGAGAACAGGCGTGGGGGGCCCTGACCCTCGGCGGGTCTCCAGCTCGGCTGGTCTCAGGTGGCAGCCTCCTGTACGCTGCCCGGAGACGTAGTTACCGGGGTGACAAGCCCCTGAATGTGACCACAGTGCCACCTTCCAACCGAAAGGGGAGGCAGTGGTTTCACTCAACTGCAACTCTTCCCGGAGGGCAAGAGTGGACCAGATGGCAAGAGAAGGGACCCCTCCGGGGCTGACCAGGGGCTCACGGAACCCACCGGCACTGGGAACATCTCGAGGGCACCAACTTGCCGCAGAGCCTGGCCGGAGCCTGAGAAGGACCCTGCCCTGCTGCCTGCCTCAGGGGCAGAGGAGAGACCTTCTTACACCCCTGCTCCCAGGGCAGTGTCCATCCTGGGCACCAGACGCTGCGCCCCCGGCTCTCATAGCCAAAATAGACGGGAGCTCCCTGACCCTCCACCTCTGCCCACTCCTGGCTGGTGAGGAAGCTCAGGCCCAGAGACGCAGGAGTCAGGGCCTTGTTCAAGGTCACACAGGACCCGAGGCCCTGAGGTGAGCTCAGAGGACTCAGGCTGGCCCCCCTTGTCCCTCTGGGGAGGGACACTGCCTTTCCACCTCAGTAGCAGCCAGATGCCAGGAGCTGGGGATGGGGCGTCCTTTGGTGGTGGCCCCGTAAGCAAGCCCTCACCTGCCCCACCCAAGCCCCAGGAGGAAGCCCCCAGGCTCAGTCTGCGGAGAACACAGGTGTCCCCCGCCACCCCACTCTCCAGATTCTCACTTTCTCAATCAGGAACTGGAGACGGGTGGGTGGGGAAGGATACTTACATATGATCCCCCTTTCTCCCTCCCTCCCTTTCAGAGTGAAAGACCTTGAAGGTCGCGAGTTCAACCGGAAGGGTGGCTCATCTCACGATTCTCAATTTTTTTTTCTTAGCCACAGGATAAACCTACACATCAAACTCTGAGGGAGGCGTCCGGCGTCCCATCTCCGATTTCTCCCGTCTCCCTGAAACACAGTTTGGGGACCACAGCTTGTGGTTCACTGTTTAACAGAACCAGCACTGAGTGTGCGGTGAGCCTGACCCACCCCTGAATCCCAAGTCTGTCACCTCCGGCTTCTGCGGTCTTGGACTCCTTACTTCCCCTCTTGGCCTCAGTTTTCCCACCTCACCTCCACTGATGAAAGCGGGACACCCATCTCTGCACTACCAACCTCACAGGGATTTTGTGAGAATCCATACAGGTCACGGAAGCACCTTGAATGGTAAACTACTCTTCAAATGTAAACAGTTATTAATGGTATTTTTTTAGGAATAAGGAAACCAAGGCCCAGAATGGTTAATAAGTTTACAGCCACACAGAAAGTTAGTGCCAGGATGGGACGGGGGCTCAAGCCTGCCACCTTCTCATGGAGGTCTTTGCACAGGCCATGTGGTCCCCTTAGGCACTAACACACCCCCGGGCACCTGGGCACAAGGGACAGAGAATTTCTGAGCAATAAACAGAGCATGTTGCTTCCCCTCTTAGGCCTCGTCTCCACCTGCAGAATGGTTTCTAGGAGACCCTCTGGATCAGATCTTTTCATGGTCTGTGACCCTGCTGTCAAAATCCTGGCATTCCGTGTGGGAGAGCCCCTCCTTCCCTGTGGCAGGGAGCTCAGGACACCCAAAAGCACATGATACAATAAACCCTTGGGCATCACCTGCTTGCCCTGGCCCCTGGCCTGGGGCCTGCCCACTTCTTGCCCTCTCAGTCTACCCCTCTCTCTTCCAAGTTTCATGGCCTTTGCTCATGGTATTCCCTCTGCCTGGAATGTTCTTCCTTCCAGTTTCTGCCTGAATTTCTACTGCTGGTCCTACATACCTCCACCTAAACATCACTTCCTCTGGAAGCCCTCCCTGATACCCCACCTGGTCATTTATCTTCCAGTCGCCTCCCTTGTTCCCTTCCAAGATCTGACTGCCACCAATGATGACCCATGGTGTGATCTTTGATCAATGTCTCTTTCCCCATTACCCTGTATGTTCCGTGGGGGTAGGGACTCTGCCACTTTGGTCCAACCATGCACTCAGTGCCTGGCACATTCCCTAACACACAGGAAGTGCTCAACAGATACTGTGGAACCAGGAATCAAAGCACGAATGGCTCAGAACCACCTAAACAGAGCACATTAAAGATGGGATGCCCAAGAGAGGGCGAAAGAAGCTTCTCACATGTTATCCTCCCACTGGTACCAAGGGTATAAGGCAGCTAGGGACAAAGAGGCTCAGAGAGGTACAGGCAGCATGCCAGGGTCACAGAGGAGATCAGTGCCAAGCCAAGATAAACTTCCCAGGCTCCTAACTCATTTCACTCAACCTTTTGCTCCATCTGTTGACTTTCTCACATGGAATGTTATCAGGCTGATATTCCTACCTGGGCTCTCACTGAGAAAGGAAGAAAGCATTTCAGACTGGCAGACTGGCCTAGTAAGAAAGGTATGAGACATTTACACATAAGAGATATTAAAAATAAGACAGCACGTGGTCTCTTCTTTCTGTAAAGCTGAAAATTTAACTGGAACAGAAATTCAGAGACTATAAGGATTCAAGAAAGGTAACCATGCAGCTGAGAGGCAGGGAAGACCAGAGGATTTCCCTGAAACCTTTAATGCAGTAGAGGGGAGTGGAAACGCACTGGAGGCAAACGGGAATAGGGTGCTCAAAGGCTAGAGGAGGGAATGCAAGGGAGAGGTGATGCAAGAGGAATCTAATTTGGGAACCACTGCTCACAGATTTTAGTCTTAGAAAGAGAACTGGAGACCTTACACTTCTGGCCATGATGGTATGTATACTTAGTACAGGACTAGCCCTCCTCCAGATTCAACTGTAAAGCTGGACAAAATGCATGGAACAAGAATTTTCAGACTCTGAATGTAGATGGTGCAAGACTGTGATTCATGAAAGAAGACCTGCTGTGAGCCCCAGGATCACCCCAGCTCTCTGCTAGGATAGACCCTCGGGACCACAGCACAGAGGTGGAGCTTGAAGGATGCACTGCAATCTCACTGATCTGAGAGACAGTGATCAGAGTTCAGGGCTCCTGAGGCAGCTGGAATTGACAGGGAAGAATAACGAAGAGGAGGAAATTGTGCAAAAAAACAACTCCAGAAATGGGCAGAGGGGCCCCTTGAAGTCTTTGGCTGAACACCAAACTGTATTTGTGCAGAGGGAGCCTCTGCAAAGACTGGCAACCAATAGCTGCTGGGGTGGGGGCGGGGGCGGGGAGCTGATTGAAGATTCAGAGGTGGCAAAAGGCAAGGAGATGTCCGAGTTCCACCTGCCAGAGGAGAGATCTTGCTGAATACCTCCAGCATTCAGTTGAGACCCAGAAAAGCCATGCCTCAGAAGGATTACTCTAACCCTAGAATAAGGACTGCTCTGGAACTGCCCTAACACAGCTTTAAAACAAGGCTTTGAAGTATTGAGTTGATCTGTAAGTAGATTAACTGCCTGCCAGAACAAAATTCAACACTTTTTAGAAGAAGACAACAAAATCCACACACTCAGCAACATAGCATGCATCCACAATGTTCAGCACAGAATAAAAATTTATTTGTTAGGTGAAGCAGGAAAATGTGAGTAATAATCAAGAGAAAAAACATCAATAGGAACATAAAGAAATGACAGGGATGATGGCATTAGCAGGCAAGGACCTTAACACAGCTATTATAAATATGCTCAAACATTTAAAGGATAATATGAATATAATGAAAGAAACAATGTAAAAAGGAACCAAGTGGAAATTACAGAGATGAAAAATATGATAGCTGAAATGTAAAATTCATTTGATGGATATTTCTAATGAAACAAGTAAGACTGTAGGAGAAAAGATCGGTAAACTTGTACACAGGACACTAGAAATTATCCAAATTGAAACACAGAGGGAAAACAAGGCTGAAAAACTGAACAGAGCTTCAACTGATCTGTAAACATCATAAAACAATCTAATATATATGTAATTAAAGTCTCAATAGGAGAAGGAAGAGATTGGGGAAGAAAAATATTTGCAGAAATACTGGCTGAAAAATCTCCAAATCTGATGAAAAATATAAACCCACTGATCTGAGAAGCTCACTGAACCCCAAACAGGATAAACACGAGGAAAACTATACATCATAATCAAATTGCTGAAAATTAGTAATATAGAGAAATATTTAAAAGCATTCAGAGAAAAGAGACCCATTAAATACAGAATAACAATCAGAATGATCTCTGAATTCTCATCAGAAACAACATAAGCCAGAAGATAAAGGAATGACATTTTTAAAATGCTGAAAGAAAAATATCTCA